ATTCATTCATTCATTCAGTTTGAGTAATGCGGGGATGTGGAGCGCTATCAGTGGAAAAGACAAACCATTCTCTATTTGCGTTGGCCTTGTTAAGTTAAGGGGGGGTTGGCAGCCAAAGCTGTCAAGATAACCCAAGCTGCCCTCTCTTGACTCAGTTATCCTTTTAAGAAGTGAGAAAAGTATTTGTATAAAAGAGCAGGAACGCCATGACTGACAAGAGCTTTGGTCAGCTAGTGAAAAAGCTTGTGTTGGCGAGAGCAGCTGGTGCTGAGACCAGACTGCCCTCAGGACTAATGATGTGTTTATGAGAGAGGTGGGGAGGCTGATGGCCCTGGACTCAGCCACCAAATCCCATCTGCTAGAACTCCAAGAGAAACCGGAGAAGAGGCAACCTGTCCCGGTTTGACTGTGACATGCTCATGGCCTTTCTAAAGCAGTAGATATAATTTGTCCAGAGATGGCAAAAGTACACACATCCTTTACTCAAGTAGAAGTACAGATACTCGTGTTTAAAAATACTCTGGAAAAAGTAGAAGGACTGACTAAACTTCTTTACTCAAGTAAAAGTAAAGAAGTATGGGCTTTGAAACCCATAACTACCAACTGTTTTAACCTGTTTCACGCCTTCCCCCCGGTACCGGGCGGATAAACGCGTCATTTGCAGGAAACAACGTCTAAGGAATCTTAATATTGAATAAAACTATGAATGTGTTATATCCATGTAACGGGAAGAAACTCAGCTAACTGATCTTTTTAATTTTTTTTTTCAAAAAAAAACCCACAATGCTAGCACTCAGCCTCTGAATTAGCCTCGATCGAAAAAACGGGACCGACAAAGGCACATAAACTCACTCAGAACTCCCTTATTACTTATCCTAGATGCACAACCAAACACTATTTTTTGGTGTCCTGGAGACACTGAATCTAACGGTGCCCACCTCAACACTCAGTGATAAACATTCGCGACGCTATCAACGAAAGCGTACATCATCACATGTGGAGCCAAGAAGCTAAACATATAAATATGGCTTACCTTGGTCAAAAGTGGTCTTCAATGGCATTAAAACGATAAAAAAACGATGCTGCAGTTAATCCATAGGTTCATCCTATGTGTCTGTGCCTTCTTTGAAATTATTTCTGATAATCCATAAGCAATACAACTGCGTTTTAGTTTCCAAACTCCAGAAGGAGACATTCCTCCAGTTTAGTTTCGCTTTCCACACGCGAAGCGGCAACATTTTTTCTTTACAATGTGTGTCTATGTAGGTATCCTCCTTCGATTCTATTGGCTCTAACGGTCACAAGGGTATGTCAACCAACCAGATCGAGCAAGGGGGGCCAGAGATAGGTCAAATCCACCCAGATGGCCCAGTTTTTGGCTAAATCTCTCTAAAAAGGTCAAATTTCACTTGTTTTGCATCAATCTTGATACAGGGTACTTATTATATGTTGTACTTTGGATTCCTAAAGCTTTTAGTCTACTAACCCATCATCCAAGGGTAGTTTTCACTATCTGTAAAAAATAATTTTTGGACGGACACTATAATTTACAGTTTTTTTACTATGTAAAATCTGAATTTTCTTTAAAATAAAAAACATTTATATTGATTCTGACACTTCTACATCCAACTCACAGGTTTATCATTACTTTGAGAAAAGATTATTAATTTAACCCTTTTAGAAGGGAAGATATGGTCATTTGTTCTGGGAATGTCATTTTCGAGCCTGAGACCTGAAAAACAGGCTCAGAGTGGAACAGGTTAAAGAGTACCTGACCTCCCTTTATATTAATAGAACAATAATGTTATTGTTAGCTAATGAATGTTTCCATGCTGAACAACGGCAACATGACAAAGTTTTCATTGGTCCCTCCTCTTTAGAGAAGACCAGGAAATGATGGATACGGATCGTGTTCAAATCAATAGGCACGCAATGACTCTAAATAATAATGATCAGGCCACCAAACACAGATTAAAACTAAAGTAACGAGCCTGTTTTTAAAAATGTAAGAAGTAAAAGTACAGGTATTTGTGTTCAAAATGTAAGAAGTAAAATAAAAAGTTGTCAGAAAAATAAGTAGTAGAGTAAAGTACTGATACCAGAGAAATGTACTTAAGTACAGAAACGAAGTATTTTTACTCCACTACTTCCCACCTCTGAATTTGCCCAACTGTTAACAAACTTGTTTCTGGTCTTTTTTAGTTTTTGAAGCCACTTTTAAGTTGAGTCTTTTGATGCATGTTTGATTTAGTATCATTTGCCTCTGCAGTGGTACATCTCAAAAGGATTTGCCGTTTTATTAAACTGATAGAAATAGATATTCACGTTTTTTGCACATGGTCACTTCATCTTATAAGATTTTTAAAAGGTAACAGTGAAACATAACTTCTAAGTCAACAGAGCATCCAATTATTTTTCCCAATGCTGGATTAGATTGCTACCGTTGGCAAACCACCATGCTCAATTTGTTTCTAATCAATGTAATGTTAATTGGAGCATCCTATTTGCACAGCAGCCAAACTGTTTGTCCTGCATAATACCTTATTGTGACACCTGTTTAATTCATGGAAAGTGTTTTCTTGTCTGGCCGTCAAGCTAATCTTATCCTCTTTTAATGTCTCATGAATCATATTGTTTTCTGATCTGGTGATTCAAGTGTGAGGCCCAAAATGGCTACATTGTTAAAGTTGTAAAATAATGTGGGATTTAGCCTCAGGTAACAAATAAATTAAACAGGGATATGAAACCCTCATGTTCATTTAGATAATTAGACAGTGGATATTTTTAACCACACTTCTGTTTCACCTCTTTCTCTTTTATAAGAAGGGCAACATTCTGCACATCAGTTCAGTAATGACACAGATTAGAGATGCCTTGCCTTGATATTATATTGATGTGACTCTGATACTGATCTGAGTCATTAATATTGAGTATCTGCCAAGTTTAAAACCTGTGTGAATAACTGTATTTCCCTACATAATACAGGAGGTATGACTGGCATTGAAATAGCCTCTATCCCTGGTTTGAACCATAAAGAAGCAGTACTTAATCAATGCTTACACTTACTGTAAGAGGTGTGTCGGTTCATCTGCATACATTGCTGGAATAGAGGCAAGGCAGCTGTTTTTATTTGTTCATGCCACTCAAGGGTTTGCTCATGTGCCACACGTTGGAAACGATTCAGATATTTACACGACAGCCGTACTGTTGTTCATATGTTATAGAGATGGTAAAAAAAAGAGAGCGCAATGTATTACAATCGCACACCGATTCAAATATGGACATAGTCTCTGTGACGTCACCCATAGGTTTGAGGCGTTGTACAGCCCAAAGTTGGTGGCTCCGACCCAACTTTGCAGTAAACAGGTGTTTCAATTCACCCAACAATTCACCCAATGTTATTTTTTGATAAATAGTGAAATTAGCTAAAGAGACTAAACCCCCATTTCTTTATCAGGCTGTAACTATGTTTGTATCTGCTGTAAAGTTCAGCATTTTAACATGGTTTGACTTCCCTTTGGACCCAGCCTTAAAAAGCCATTTGAATACTGCAGCTTTAGGCACTTCCGCAAAGTCTTCACTGGTCAGTCCCGGGCGCTGCCATGTGGTTACAATATACAAAGGTTCATGACTTATAAAGTTAATATAACCTGTTACGAAATGCCTTCATAGGAGTATTTTGGTTTGGATAAAAACATCTTAAAGGGGCCCTATTATGCTTTTTGGGGTTTGCCTTTTCCTGTAGTGTGTTATACAGGTTTTTGTGCATGTAAATGTTCTCCAAAGGCTGAATTCCCAAAGTTTCTCACCCGCACAAGAGGGAGTTTCTCATCCGCACACTTCCACTTCCACCACAAAATAAAGACCTTTTTGAACATTATAGCATGGAAACATGTCACAATAGAGGCACACAATACAAATATAAATCTGAAAATAGGCATAATGCGGCCCCTTCAATCTGCAGTTGGTACCCAATTTTTCAAATGTGGACTTTTAACCATTTCGGCCTAAAATTGGTCTAGCCATGGTACATCAGCAACGGCTGCTTTCATTGGTACATTGCTGTTGTAGATATAGTTGGCACAACCACTCCTGGCCCTATGTATTTGATTTGTATCTCTTAAATGCCATTTTCATAATGTCTTCCATTTTTGTAAAGCACTTTGAATTGCCTTGTGTTGAAAGGTGCTATATAAATAAACTTGCCTTGCCTTGCCTTGCCTTAAACTGTGGTATTGGAAAAAGAACATGTGTTATTAAATCTTTCAAGTATCTTACTTGTAGTAGGACATTTAATATGCAAAACATGTTTGGGGAAGGGTTGATTTTTAAGGAGCTTGTTCACTTCACTTGGCTTAAGGGATTTTGACTTAATTCATCCTTTCAGAAAATAAGATGTGTGTCCGTGTTCAGTGCTGCTAGACGAGCATTGGCCAATAGGTGTTTCAGTTGGTCTTTATGTGTCCTCTCGGCCCCAAGTGTGCCCCCTTTGTGTCTTATTTTGGGAAAAAGTCTTCATATACGTCTGTGTTGTTTCTGTAGCCTCAGTCAAACACCCCTCAGTATTCCTCTCTACACTGCATGAACACAAACATCTTGCGCCTATTCCACACATAGAAAGTCTGTTATCTCTGTGTACCCGACCCTCTGTAAATGAGTTATTGAGGGGAGGAAAAAAAGGTTTGATAAACATCCAATGATGGCACAAGATGGTGCTATGTGTTTCGGATAGCTTCTTCTTTGTAGTCATCAAAGCAGTAGTGAAGTGGCCTTTTTGTTTGCTCCCTCTGTGGCTTGTTTTCCAATACCCAGAGAGCAGATGGTATGTGTTTTCCACGGTTGAATCACTGAGACGGGTCGGTTTTGCGTAGCTGGCCTACACTATGTGAAGCTTGTATGTGTGTCATGCCGCCTTATTTGTGAGAATACACCTGTGTCAGTGAGCTATACATGTAAAAAATAAAGCTTTGAATTCACTGGTTTCCTGTTTTATTCCTCAGACTCTGGAGGAGCCCCCCTACTTGACGGTAGGGACGGATGTGAGTGCCAAGTACAGAGGGGCTTTCTGCGAGGCTAAGATCAAGACTGCCAAGAGGCTAGTCAAGGCAAAGGTAAGTCACATTTTAAAGTGATCCAAAAATTAAATATTTATTGTCTGTCTGTGTTGCGTGAAGTGGGTGGCAGCAGGGCGAGGGGCTCTTCTTGTCTTTGTGCTAAAAGATCGCACAGCTGAAGCTCCAGAGCCGTTTTGGATTGGAGAAGGCCACATTTAAAATCTGTTGTCCAAAAAATATCTTTGCTACTTATATCAGGAGATTCTTAGGCTGTGCAGTGAAAATATCTCCTTGTCTCTGATGTTGTCAACAGTCCAGCTGTGTTGCTTACATGCTTTAGCTCTACCACCTGCTATATGTTGTTAGTACTGCTCATACAGCTGAAACGCTGATCAGGGCCCCAGCAGTGACAGATGCAAGGTCTGGTCTAGCCCACCAGGTACCCATCACATCCTCAGTCGTCCCCCTCGCCCACTGCTTCCATGTTTTGTCTGCCGTCTCCCCACTGATTTTATGCCTTACTGATGAAGGCATTGCTCAATGCACATAGTACAGTGTCTCTTTTCCCAGTGGGGCTGGAGCATCTGGATAATACAATAGAGACAGATCGCTTGTCTCTCGTTCTGCAATAGTGTGTGGGAGGAACAAAGATTGGATGCTGGCTTTTTCACTGTGTTAATGCACTCTAGTTCCCCCTTTAGAGACAAAAAAGAGCAGCCAATGCTCTGCCATTCTGACACACCAGATGAACTCATCAAATGTGCTTTTTTGTCTCGTGGACAGGGAGACGAATAAAATAGCAAAGTAGACTATTTGATTTTCTTGGTTTACATATGGTGGGATAAAACAAAGCTAATAGGACAGTCTCAGCTCATAAATGAATTAGCATACTAATTGGCCGAGTGTGGGGTTTGTTTTCGGTTAGCTGTAATGTGAATGTGAGGTCTGTTACACAAACGGAGAACATGGCAATTATTCAGTGGTTATGAATCTGAATATTCCTCTGTAATGAATTCCTCTTTAGCTCTTTGGTTCATTAATCTCTGTCTGCTTGTTGAACAAAGTGGAGGGTGGCAGCATATGGCACGGGTGTTTTTTCAGTGGTTTTAAAACCCAGTGCAAACTCTTATTTATGATGATGATCAGTGCTAGGAGACCTGTAAAAAATGCAATTACACCATGTCAGTAACACTTACTGTGACATGTTCAGCACACATTTGATCAGTCAGGACAAACACTATGGCACAGTAACAAGTACTGTGTCACAAAATGAGAGCTGCAAGAACATTTCAATGCTCATAGGCTGTATTTACTATGTCATATGAGGATAGAAACTAGACTTTTACCATTTCATAAACTGGCATTATCCATTAAGCTGGCTACCTAGCAATCTAACTGATTGAAGTAAAGAAATAACTTGTAAAATGAATAGAAATACATGAATGTTTGCCAACATTGTAACAACTAAACTAGTAGAAGAGGTAACAATTTATAAACTGTGTATTTGACTTCAGATTACTGTCTGCTGGTTAACTGAATTATAACAAACACATTTCTCCTCCCCTCTTGATAAGTAAAGTACACTATGGTACTGTATGCTTTTTAAATAAGAATAACGCAAAAAAGAGAGATTCTTAGAGTTATTCTTGAAAAAAATCAAAACCATTTAAGAATTATTCCCACCATTTGAAATCATAGTTGTATTTATTTATATATATATATTATTATACTTGTTTTACAAGGACCAGACACATTGATACACATCAGTGTCAATGTACCAGTGTTAGCAGATTGATTATTTTTTTTAGTAAAATAATCCAATGAAGTAGAATTTATAAAATCCCAACAGGAGGATAAACTTTATTATTATGAAAATATCTGGACAAAAAAGACAGAGATGGTGTGTGTGTAATAACACAACTAGAGTTAAGTTTTATGTAAAATGTCACACTTACAGTCCGTTTGTTGTACATAACCAAAATATATAGCCTCTGCAGTCAAATTTGCTTGAATAAATCACATTAAAAGTTGTTTCATGTCAATTTACATTTCATGTATCAAATAAACAGAAACATTAAAGTGTTGCTTTTTCAAATTGGAAAAATGCTCACTTACCACTTTGAATTTAATACAGTGAAACATCCTGCAGCTCAGTGACATTTTAGGGCTTATTGGAAGAAATAATCTTGTAATATAATGGACTGTGTGCTCCCGAGGTAAAATCCCATTCAAGTCTCATACATTTGCTGAAGGCTGTATCTTATCAGAAATATTGTTTCATATCTTATTCCAATATTTGTTGCTAAAGTCTAAGTACATACACCGTTTGTGTGTACAGACCTCAGTTGAACCCAGCAGGTAACCAAGCTCACAGTTAGAGGTTGTCAGGACGGGCAGGTGTTGGTGATGCTCTCTAGAGTCTTCCTCCCTCTGTGGAGAGCTCATCCCTGTGAAAAAAGTCATTTTATTCCATCACTGGCAGAAATGTTATTAAATGTTGCGTGTGGAACCCTTTTGTTCTGTTCCTATATGGCAGTGTTTCTCAAACTTTTTCAGACCAAGGACCACTTAACCAATAAAGAAACACTCGCGGACCACCTAACTCCACACAAATATCCAAAAACAAAAGGCCTGCTTACCACTCCAACAGTAAATAACAAATTACAGCCTAATAATGACAGCTTAACCTTCTCTATATCGCCTCATTCACACATTAAATCAACAATACAAATCCAACTACAGATTATATAAGCATTTCGTTCAAATGCGATTTAAAATGCTCAGGTTTTACACCTCTTATGAAATGTAGACTACATTTATTACGGAGTTTATGTCCGAGCCAACAGACTCACAGATCGTTGGCTACTGAGAGAAATGCAAAATACACCGCATGTAGTACGACACAAACCTCCGCTGTGGATTTTCAAAACAAAATACAGTAAAACTATGGTCGCAGGCCCAAGTTGAACTCTCTGAGGTCTAAGCCCTTTTTTCACATGTTAGGCTCGCCTGGGCTTTTTTTGTAAAAATGCTATTAAAACATGAACCTTGGTGACCATCGGGCTGGCCTGCCTGCATGGTCTGCCTACAAAACAAAAAATAAGAAAACGTTTATGCAGCCCCAACAACAGCCTCTGATCATCAACAGACTTCATGCAATTCTTCATTGGATGCATATATTAGATAATAATCTCTATCTCACTCCTAAAACATCTAAATCTACTTTCAGCATCGATACATGTTCATAAAAGTGTGTGTGTGTGTGTGTGTGTGTGTGTGTGTGTGTGTGTGTGTGTGTGTGTGTGTGTGTGTGTGTGTGTGTGTGGTGTGTGTGTGTGTGTGTGGTGTGTGTGTGTGTGTGTGTGTTGTGTGTGTGTGTGTGTGTGTGTGTGTGTGTGTGTGTGTGTGTGTGTGTGTGTGTGTGTGTGTGTGTGTGTGTGTGTGTGTGTGTGTGTGTGTGTGTGTGTGTGTGTGTGTGTGTGTGTGTGTGTGTGTGTGTGGTCTTTTCTGTTCTTTTCTGTTCCCAGTGTTGCCAGGTTGCCATGCAGATGCAAGATTACCACAGCATGATCAGATTATGATCTGCTGTGGCTCACTTATTAGTGGAGGCTGCAAGGGGTGGGGGGTCTGTTAGTGTAGGCCTAACAATCGAAACAGAAATCCACCGCAGTTGGCTCTAACAGATGCGGCACAGTTGCCAATCGGGGGGTCAGGCACTCAACGATGCCAGAAATGAGCCATAGTATTTAGTACTCGCACACATGCTGCTTGCCTAAAAGCACCAGGAAGTCTTTACTAGGTTACCCCACTAATTTAAAAACAACCTGCCTCGCTGCCAAGTACTGCGTGATACACTCCATCATCCTCGCTTTTATAAAGTCCTGCAGCGCTTAAAAGACCATGCTGCCTCTGTGAAGTGGAGGATTGATATGGCCCAGTCAGGCCTTTGGGGAATTGTTTATTTATCCTTGTTACTGATTCTCCTCCCCCCCCCCCGTTTCCTCCCCCCCCCCCCCCCCCCCTCTTCCTCAGGTGACCTTTAAACCAGATCTGACCACAGCTGAGGTTCATGATGAAAACATCAAAGGAGTTCTAAAGGTAAGGCAGGAAAAGATGCATGTGGATGATGTTGCCCCACAGTCAGCTGGAACATGGTCATAACACACATATAGTGTTTAAAATGTACTCTTATTACTTACTTACTTATTTTTTACTATAACAACACATTGATCGACTCGAAAAATTGCGAGAAAATTGGTCAATACAGCTTACTCTTTGCATTTAATTTCAGTCGATTCTTGTAGTGGCTGTATGGTTTTTTCATTACTTAAAACCACTTCATTAGATGTATCATTAGTAGCGCATTAGGACGCCAAGTAACAGCGGTGTGTCTGTCCCACAGGTGGGGTCTGTTGTAGAGGTGAAGAATCAGGATGGTGTTTACCAGGAGGCCACCATCAATAAGCTGACCGATGCGAGTATATATACTGTTGGTAAGTCAAAAACAAACTGTTTCTCCTCCTCACTCAAAGCACTCTCCCTACAGCTATTTCACAAAAACATGTTTGTGTACAACAGAAACTCCAAATGTATTTTCCCTTGGCTAAGCATTTTACGGGAAGATGTTGCAAGGAGCTTTTTCAATCGTTTCCTCAGAAAAGGTTAAGAATGAAGTGATTTCTCACAGGTCAGCAAGAATACTAAAAAAGTCCCTTACATGCAAAGAATATTAAAATCTCCATTACAATCAAAACCCATTACCATTGGTTGTGTGATTAAATTAAATGTCCAGTAAATATCTAGAACTAATATCTAAGAAACTGGGGGTCAAACTGCACATACATCATATTGAAATGGACTTTTTTTTATCTATTAAATATTGTCCAGTGTGAAAGCAACTTATTTGGCAAGAAAAAATGGGCAAGATACATTCTACCTTTTTTAAAGGGGCCCTATTATGTATTTTGGGGTTAACACTAACACACCAACACATTGTATGTGATAGGCTTAGGGGCAGGACATATCTAAGCGGTTGACCAATCGCAGCAGAGTCAGCCAGCTAACCAATCAGAGCAGACTGGGCTCTGGTTTCAGACAGAGGGTGAAAAGAGGTGCTGCAGCACAGGCAGTATGAGACAAATAAAGAGCTTTTTGAACCTTAAAGCATGAAATATGGACCTGACAATGAGCATAATAGGGCCCCTTTAAATAAAAAGTACTGATGATGAGGTGGTAAAATATATTTTTGAAGAATTATCTTTAATCTTTGGTAGCTTTAGAGGCTGATCAAACTAGAATGGGCGATGCTGAGTCAACAGGTGGGACAGGGGTAAATGCTGCCTGCAACGAAAGACCATTTTTATTACTAATTTATATTTTCTTTCTGTCTTATGATGTTGTCTGTAATGTGTCAATACATGTTAATGCTTCTATCAGAAGTGTAATCCTTTGTCCGACCAACAGTGCAAATGTATTGTATTTATATATAAATGACATAAAACAGGTAGTACACAGTATACACCGCTGCTCAGTCTCTCAGCAACTCCTCGTCACTAAAGAGGGCCCCTGGGGTTTCCCTTTCTTGTCTTGGCACATTTATTATTTTCATTCATCATCACAAACACAAGTCACCTCAAGTGTTTTCTCCTCATTGTTGTCGCCGAGCAATGGGGTGAGCAATGATTCATGTAAATGATTTCAATATCTGGGTTTACCCGTGGGAGTGATGTAACTGCTAAGAGTGAAAGGAAGGTTTCTTTAGTCCTTTAAATATGACATATATTATGCATGCTTATTGTAAGAGTTAGTCTTTGGAGATTTGATATAAGTAAATAAAATCTGTTAGTTCTTCCGACACTTCCCCATGTCTCTTTTATTTCACCATTTACTCCTTGGAGCTGTTTTAAAGCTGTGATTTGAAAGCGCCTGTCAGGATCCATCCAAGCCTTAGTTAGAACACAATATTTGTTTCGATGTATCATAACTCAAGTCAGTGGCGGACTGGCCATCGGGACGTTCGGGACGAATCCTGATGGGCCGGTACCGAAGTGGGCCGGTCGGACGATGTGGGCCGATCGGATAAGTCACTAGCACCCCCCCCATTACTAGCGGTATTTACTAGCGGTATTTACTAGCGGTATTTACTAGCGGTATTTACTAGCGGTACCAAGGTGGGCCGGTCGAGAGTCCCGGCCTGATTTTTAGTCCCAGTCCGCCCCTGAATCAAGTGGTCATTTGGAAACTGAGACTGGAGTTAATTTGTGCTTATCTTCGTGTTTGTGTGTGTTGGAGGAAGACGTACAGCAGCCTAATAGTTTGTCTCTAATCTCTGCAGTGTTTGATGATGGCGATGAGAAGACCCTGAGGCGGTCCTCTCTCTGCCTGAAAGGAGCACGTCACTTTGCAGAGAGCGAGGCAAGTATTGCTCTGTCCTGTAGGGAATTTTCTTTTTTGAAAACAGGTTCTTCCTAGTTTAAAGAAATATGTGATTTTTCTCAACAGCAGCACTGGGTGAACAACTAGACATTTGAAACAGTTTTGTTCATTCAAATTAGCTCCGTATGGATTTCCCGCGGCTACAGAAGCATTATCTGTTCGCTTTCGATGCAAAGCTCATTTTATAGTTTTCAACTTCTTTTAAATTAACTAAATGTATCCTAATTTAATTAAATGTATTGATGATGCCACATTGGAACATTTCTAATACAAAATACAGCTGTATATTTGCAGAAAATACATTTTACAGCAATGTAAGGTAAACTGCTGGGTACATTTCTTCCATTTATTACTGATGAAATCACTCAAGAGAATTTATTCCATGTTTACAAGATAACAACTTACGTTTGTCTTCCAATTTAGTGGCTGACAAGGTGGCACTAAGGCTCTTTGCTTTTGTTTTTCTCCCCTGCAGACACTCGACAGACTCCCTCTCACCAACCCAGAGCACTTCGGCACACCTGTCATCGGCAAGAAGGGAAACCGCGGCAGACGATCGAACCCAATGTGAGTATCTCCCTCCGCCTGTCTCTATACATCCTGCAGGGCTCAAACTTTATATATCATATGTCTGCTGCTGGGGGGATTTATTTTGTAACTGTCTAAAACCATCAGTTACAGGCTTCTCTGTTCTATGTTCACTGACAGCCAGTGGCGGCGCCAGAGTATTTTTGTTTGGTAATCTATGGTAGGGCTAACCCATACAGTGGTGGGGCTCAAGTCAGTATTTGCAATGTAATTACATACACGCTATATCGCCCCCCTTGACAGTGAAACGCCACGCGTGAGGTTTAGATTATTTCCCTGTCTCAATCAGAATGAAACTGTATGAAATAAAACTGCACATTTGTCTTGTAGTAAATAAAAAGGGATCACTGTGAACGTGACGTATGATAGTACACGTTGAAGATCCAATGGGGATACTGAATGGCGGTTCCGATTGATCTCTTCAGTAATGCATGACGCAGACCCAACGTTTCGTTGCCCTGATTGGCTGTAGGTCTATTCAAATTGCATTCGGAGGCATTTTGATCTGACCGCGGCCGCGCTGATATTATAACGCCAGAGAATTTATTTATAAAACTCCCCCACTACTTAGACTATTCCTTGCACCCATCTTCTAGCATAAGCCCGAATGGTCTCAACCATATTGCATCAGTAACGTGCACTTGTTGTTACAGCAGGATCAGTTTGTGTGTTGTGGACACGACCCGTATATTTTCGCAAGCCGTTTTCTCAACATTTAGCATTTTACTTATTATTTAATTTAATTTGCTTACTACATCATTTGTCATGGTGGGGCTAAGGTGGGGCTAAGCCATTTCTTGGTATGGCTGCAGCCTGCCCCAGCCATACCCTGGCGCCGCCACTGCTGACAGCAGTTAGAATGAAAGGTTTACTCCCATCTCCATCCCCTCAGAGCCTGAGGCCTGTAGAGCCTGCTCTCTCCTTCCAGCTCTTTAATCACTCCTCCTGTGTGTGCTGCAGAGGCAGAGTGAGCACAGCATGGTCCTGCTTCACATTATCTTTATTCCCCCCCTTCTTAGACTCAAATGTTCCAGTAGGTGTTTGATGCTCTGTTGTGCCTACTCCTGGGAGCCTGCAGGAGTTTTCATCAGGGAATAGAAACAGTTTGGCGCTGGATATAATTGTTGCTCCTCTCTGTTATAAAGAGGACACTCTGCTACGTAGTCTCATTCTCCGACGACCCTTTGCTAATGGCAACAAAAGTCAATATTACTGTGAACATTGATGCATTATTGACTTGGAAATGTCCCAGTTACAATTTAGCGCCTTGTATCTGATGTCTTCCTTTGCAATATTAGTGTCCTAATCCTTGGGTCTTAAGGTTTGAAAATGTAGGGGAGATTGATGTTATTGGAAAAAGAATGCTATTGCTATGGTTTGGAAGAGAAGATTTATCCTTGTTTTTCTGGAACCAGAAGTGACCATATTTAATGCTAGCGTTAGCAACTAGCTTGGTTAGCAAGGTATATCAGCTATTCAAGTAAACTGATATTTTTAGGATGCTAATTTTGGCTAGTTTAAAACAAAACTACCAATCTGAAATCATTATCTTTTAGTACCGAAACGCTGAATAACACTGTATTAGCAATTTGTTGATCACAACGTAGCCACGACCTAAAGAACAACCTTCTTTATCGTATATATATTTAAAAAAATAGGACCATCATTTACAAAGTTAACATCATGTATTGTGTAACAATTGAAACTAGCAATTGAGACCATAAACTCATTAGTAAAAATGTTACCGAGTTAATAAACCAAGTAAGAAGTAGGGTCATTTTTTATCATAGACTTCTATACGATTGGGCTTTATTGTTCTTCCAGTGAAGTCGCCCTCTGCTGTCTATCAGAAAAAAGGCAGGTTTATGTCCATTTCAGATTTGCTTCACTTCTAAGATACGGATGTTACCCCTTAAGTACAGATAAGAGATCAATATTCAGTTTAAGCTTCCAGCATAAAGCAAATAAGCACATTTAAAAAATGTTGGACTGCTCCTTTAAATGACTTAAAAGCTGTCAAACATTCCCTACTACAATATTAATTATATGTGGAGCAAACTCTTCCCGACATGAGTTGTAGTCTCTCTCTCATTGAGTGGCTCGAGTGCTTTGTTTATTACTTTGATTCACAGCTTAGTTGTTGTTGTTGTTGTTGTAGTAGTAGTAGCAGACTGGCTGATTTACAGCCGTACACTCTTGCCAAACTGTGTGTGCGTATGCGTATATGTACATAGAGCAGTTCTAGTGAGGCATAAAAAGGGGACAGAGGATATGTTTGCCTGCTGGTTCTGCTTGCCCTATCACTCTAGAGACATGCTGTCTGTCTGCCGGCTGCAATCAGAGCGTCAGGGTCTTGTCAGCAGAGAACGAAATACAGCGATCCTAATGAGTGAGCTTATCAGTAGAGCCAGCCTTATTTTCTGCTGCGCTACATAATGATCAGACAAGAAAAGGTTTTGTTGAGATATGCATTGTTCATTGGATTCTTTTTGATGTTTAATGAAAGCATGATTGTTTTATAAGGCTGCTTGATTGTGTCAAAAATATGATCATGATTATTTAACACTCACAGACGTTGGAAATATCATGCGTTTATTAACCTATTTCTAAATGGTTTTTTAACAGTGGATTTCTTCGGACTTTTATTATAATTTTAACTGAAAGAAAAAAAGAAAAAAAAAAGTATTTATATCAATGTATTTTTAATTTAAACCTGTGTATATTCTATATATTTTTCTGTATATTTTTAGTTTTCTTTGTATTGTTTCTGTTCTGATTTTATGTAAAGCGCCTTTGAGCATTAGGAAAAGCACTATAAAAATCCCATGTATTATTATTATTATTATTATTATTATATTCCATATATACAAATTATATAAAATAGGTCGTATTTCAATGCTACCAATACACGGAGATATATGGACAGCGCTTTTCAAAATCTAATATCAACACTTAACCAGATGTGATGAATATAAATAATGTATTAATGCTCGTCCAACATGCAAACTGTACCTTTCTAAAATGCAGTCCGCTGAGTAAACTGTCCTTTCCCGTCATACAGTCAAGAAGAAGAATTGTCTTCATCCTCCAGCGAAGAGGAGGAGAGCAACAAGCGGCAGAATGAGGATCTGTTCGGCAAAGTGGTCTGTGTGGAGGGAGTCGCCACCGGGGAGAAAAAGAAAACCACGTGGTATCCCGCTCTGGTGAGCTCACAGTCTCCCTTCCCTCGCTGCTCTCTTGCTCCATCACTGTGCAGAAACAGGGACCACTACACTCCCAGCATTGTGCCATTTCATCTAAACGCTTGCTTATGTAACCTCAGCAGGATTATCCCATTGCGTAACAGTACACCCACCATAACATGTTAGAAAATATGCATGTGTGTGTCTTTTTAAGGTGGCTGCCTTCTGTATTTCAAACAGTTGAACTCTTATTTTGTAGGATAAACATGATTTGTGCAGCACACACACTGGTTTGATGTTTTCAGACTCCAGACCAACCGTAAACTCTAAGCCACCGTTTGCACACTATGAAATGGTGACAGGCGTTGTTTGTTTTCTAAGCGTTACAAGTAGATATGGGAGAGGGCGGGGAATGCTGTCCCTTTAAATGTGTAGTCATCAGAGCCCGCCTCCAGGGTTTGTTGTTCTTGGCGTGCACTGAGCTCCGTGCTGCCTCCTTGTGACGGCCCAGAGAAGTACATCACACAGGGAGCTTGTCACTATTTACCCTGGGACAGTATGGCAGAGGGGTGGAGCAGTAAACTGGTGGATGTCTCATGCAACAGATGAGGCTGTATCAAACGGTGTTAACTCTTTCCATGCCTGGTAAAGTAGAAGTCAGACATGTGTGGGCTTCCATTTTGCATAATTTGCAGTGCTTAGCATACGTGTTGCAGAAGGAAACGGTTAACACAGAGCGTGTGTGTGTGTGTGTGTGTGTGTGTGTGTGTGTGTGTGTGTGTGTGTGTGTGTGTGTGTGTGTGTGTGTGTGTGTGTGTGTGTGTGTGTGTGTGTGTGTGTGTGTGTGTGTGTGTGTGTGTGTGTGTGTGTGTGTGTGTGTGTGTGTGTGTGTGTGTGTGTGTGTGTGTGTGTGTGTGTGTGTGTGTGTGTGGAGGCGAGCGTTGAGGCGAGCTAAGCAGGCAGAGTCCTGGTGGAAATCAAATCTCCATAATGACAGTGCTGCCTCCTGGCGCTGGAACAACTCCCACTGTTGTGCTCCTCAACTCCAGTAAACAGTGGCGGCGCACACTGCGAGTGGGCCGAACCCCTCTCAGATCGCTCTTCATCACACACACTTGTTTGTCTTTGCTTCATTGAGGGCATATTTTGTAATCCATCAACGTAGCCTTTAGCTGAAAGTACTTTTAGTTATTGACTCTCCAACACCGCTCTCCCGATCTTCCTCCACTTTACATACACACGCACGCACGCACGCATCACCACCTCATCTGACCTCTTGACTGTCTCTTGTTTCTATGCAACAAGGTCATCTCCCCAGACTGCCACGACGACGTGACTGTGAAGAAGGACAACATCTTTGTGCGCTCGTTCAAGGATGGAAAATTGTGAGTCATCACTAATGTGCTGAAATCCACATTATGCACCATCTGTGAAGTTGGCCTGCAGCAATGATTGCCACTAGACTATTTGACATTTTCATTGTCATTAAATACATCAATTATGTTTTGAACTTATGTGTAATTACTCAAAAGTTAGTCCTGCACAGAGTAAGGGCTCAGTATTGCTTAATGATAAGGATTGTAAGCCAAAGAATAAAGGAGTGTTCCAATTCACGGTAAACAGAGCACCTTAACACAAAGCTAGTGGAAAATGTGATTATCCTCTTATTTTTATTTATTGATTCATAGCCTCATACTCTTCATTTCCAAGGTAAGCTAGCTTGTCATTTTTATGTTATTGAAGTAGCTTGACTCCTTGTTCTAGTACTAGCATAACACTGATTAAAACGTTATTGAGGTGTTTTAATTGAATAAATGAGCAGTAAATCAATAGGGGCACTCTCAGATATAGCTACATAACATCCATTTTTTTCATGCCTTTTTTATTTATTTATTTATTGTAACATGCTGTGAACTTTCCACCCATTACAAATCTCTGTTGTTTGAGGGGGCTTGTCAGATGACATTTATCCCTCTTTTGTGTATTTAATTGACACATTTGTTTGTAGCCTAGGCAGAATATGACCTCAGATTTAAGATGCTTGCTTTCCCTGGCAGCACTTCCCTGCTTGTGTTATTTAATTTGTCCTCAGGCTAAGTTTCTGGTTAACTGAGGTAGTGTAGCTTCCCTGCGGCCTCCCCTTGGAACCACACCGCCAGATTGTTTTGTCTGTGGCAAAGAGAGGAAGAAGTACTGTCAGGGGTCTGCGCTCAGCTGGTGCTTTACTCTCTCCGTATGTGGGCAGCAACATAACCCACACTCGACATAAATTAATCTCCTGTTTGCTCTCGTTCCAAAGTCTCCTTCTCTGTCTGTTTGGATTCCATTGATGACAAAACAGCCTTCAGTCTGCATTCCTTAAGAAATCCTCCTCAGCATGAGCCTTTATCTGCAGCTGAAAACACATTAGCTGCAAAAGAAGTGTGAAAAGTCCCTCCTATCGCTCGCATTCTGGTAAATATCCAGGCTTGGCTGATGAGACGGATAAGATAAGAGATGATAAATCAAGAGGGAACTAGATGTCATATACTTGTGAAGTATTTTCTCTCTGAGCCCGGCACCCCTGTGATGGGTTTTGTTGCAAATGAAATCGCACTGTAGCAGGTTCCCTTTCTGTTCTGTAGCGATTTGATTTCACTCAGGGAAATCAGCACAGTGTATCCGCGGATAGAGGCAACAAATAATTTAAGAAATCGGAAAATCGATATCGTTGTTAATGAGATTTTCAGGTTTGTTTCCCTCCCATCTTTGTTGCTTTTATGTGGATGGAATAGAGATGAGAAGAGGATATCAGTACTGGTGCTCATTTGTGATGTGATGCAGTCTGATCCTGCCTCTTTGTTGTGTTACAGTTTGATCCCAAGTGTCCCTCACAGAGTTAACCACATGTGATCTGCTTCTGGGATTGTGCAGTATGATGAAACTAAAACTGTTTGTTGTTTCACATTTTATCATTTATGTCAGCCTCTTTTTGTCTGTTATTGCCCAGTTGTTTTAACTTCCCTGGGTTCTTTTTTGTGTGTGTTTGAAAAGGGGTCATATACACAAGCCATGTGACCTTTCAGACCGGGGGTCAGTGTGTTCGCTCCCCTCTGGAGACTTTGGTATTGTTAGGGATAACCATTGAACGTGCCTTTTCAAATAACAATGGCTCTGGAAAATATTTTTCATGGAAAGTAAGGTTATATCCAGAGGGGAGATTTTTTTTTTTTTTCAGGAAGTGGTTATTCTTATTTAGTCAGATCTGATTACCTTAGTAACAGTAGCTGTTTTTAATTTGTTCTCGTTTTGGCCAACTTGCAAACTTTCCTGTGCTATCTGCCATCAAGAAGAAGCTAAGCTAGAGTTGTTCCTGGCGGGATTTGAACTCACAACCTTCCGATCTTCAGCCCACTTCACTATCCATTAGACCACCACTATCCCTACACTACTTGTAAATAGTAGATATTGTAAAGCACAACCTACATGTTAAACACAAAACAGATTCTTCAATTCAATAATGACCTTGCTTCACATTAGCCAGTAAGTAATGATGTGGAGCAGTTTAAGCTTGATTGGCATAAGAAACCACATTTTTTATATAAGATTTAAAGTAAACTAAACAACACATTTCATTTCCAGCCATGCTAGCGGCCAGTTAGTTAGTTGGTTGGTTCACCAAATCATAACTTAAAGGTCCCCTATTATACTATTTTTCAACAATATATCATAGATATATACAAAACATGACTCTGAAGTGTTTGGCTCAAAATACCAACCAGATCATGCATTGTAACATCCCATAAACCCCTGTTTCAGCTCGGTTTCAAAAGTACTGATTCTCTTTCTGTAGCTTTAAATGCTAATGAGCTGCTGCTGGTCACGCCCCTCTGAGAGATGATTGGTTTAATAAAACAACAATGGTGCTCTAGGAGGACAGTCAGGTGATAAGGGGGGGGATACCTGGTTGGTTATTGGCTAATGGTTGCACAACCCAAAAAAACATTGTGACATCACAAAGTGGCCAAAATCTGGTTTTTATATAAATGGATCAAGACAAAAAGAGAGAGATTGTTTCCTTCTGAAACTTTCTGAATCTCTTTACACAGAGGGGACACATATTTCTGTATAAAGACATGAAAAAGTAGATTTTGCATAATAGGTGTCCTTTATGATCCATGTGTTCAGATTTCTTTACTTAGAGCCAAATTATTCGCAGAAGTCTCCAAAATAAACAGAGCCGTTGATTAAAACCTTTTAAAACATTTAAATAAAGCAGTTACAAGTTATAAATCAGTGTTTAAACACTGAGAACAAATGAGGGTGTGAGCTGAGCTGCCGCTAACATTTGCTCAGCTTTTTTCTCTGGTAGTTTATAATCTAGAAGTTCAATGATTAAAATACTGGATCCGGCTAAGAGATAAAGTTAAAAACAAGTAAGATCTAAAAAGTGTATTTAAAAAAAAAAAAAAGAAAGAAAGGCAATATTTGACAGAAACCCCAACGTTGACTAATGCACAAACGGGATAGTAGAAGTTACAGGCAACCAAATTAAACCGACCCTTACCATGATCAAGATTACAACTTCTCTAGGTGTGAGTTGTCAGAACCACTCGAGAAAATATAGTATATATATATATTTTTTTTTTTTTTTTTTTTTTGTGGAATTGTTAAATATTATTCTTTTAAATCAAGGTTTCCCATTAGCTCTGACGGCTGCAATATCAAGCTTTTTTCTCCTTTATTCACACCATTACCAATCTGGTCATTGGATCAGCTCAGCTGCCTACAGATACCGCAGTAAATCGTCTTTCTGGCACACTCGCAAAGCCTCTGACTGCTTTCAGTTTACAAGCTCCACTCATCCATCTATCTGCCAAATCTCCAACACTTCGCCCAGCAGAAAGTAGGCTGTAAATTCAGCCATTTCTGCTCCGGTTTTGTTGCTGCAGGATTGGAAAGAACTTCCCTGTATGTGTTTTTTATAGTCCTATAGGCTTTGATTGGCTTTACAAAGAGTCACACAGAAGAGCTGAACCATGATGTAGTAACACTTCACTGTACTTCACTTCTGTGCACGTATTAATCAGAGTTGCTTTGTTTTGCAGTAACACGGTGCTGCGGAAAGACATCCGCGAGCTGAACGGGGACTGTCCTCCAAAAGCCGACGCAGGGCTCAAACCAGGTGAGTCAACACTAAAGCTTTAGGATGTGGTGCATAGCATATACCTCAACATCTGAAGGAGGGTTTGTGTCGACACATATTTGCAGAGTGAGTTGCAGAAAGAGAATTTCTGTTTTATTCTTTGGGAATACTGCGGCTGAGAGCTCCCGTCACTGTCGAGTCTATTTTTATTTGAAGTCCTCGCCAGGCTTTTATATAGTGCCCTCGATTTTTTTGCTGCAGAGCTCTCACTCTTTCATGATTACAGTTAGGAAACAGGTTTATATTATTCTAGTCTTGCTATTCACAGGTGGTTGACTCACAACTGTGATATTTCCAAATGTACAAGTGCGTAAAACAAGCATCTACCGAGGTGGTTAGATGCTCCTTAAACACACCTGTGACATTGTGGCTGAAAGCCTCTGCGTCACTGTGAAAGCTCCTGGCAGATTGTCATGCTGCTTTAACCACGGCTGATATTTGTCTTGTTGATGTCAAAATGTCTTTTTATACAAACCTAGTTTTGTATATGGTCCTAAAAATAACAGCTTTTAGCATATTTTTGGCAAACCAGTATAATTTTTCTATTCTGCCTGGAAAAAAGTGTCATCAGTAAAACACCATGGAAACGTTTGTGTTATAACAGTGTGTTAAATACCAGCGTTATTAGCGCGTTAACCAGTCAAATTAATTAACGCCGACAATTATTTTATCGCGCATTAACAGTTGTATTTATTATTATTATTTTGAAAGTCCGTTGCTCACTGGCTCTGACTACACATACAGACAAACCATGGGTCACAGGAGGGGTGGGATGTTGATCCGTTTTGGGTTAGGATGGGCTTCATCACGCGTCTCAACCAATGAGAGCATTTGGGGCGGGGCTAAGACTGCTGCAGGGCTCACATGAACAAAGGTACCGAACTCTTACAGACGGCGGAGTTGATAGAACCAACGTATTTGTAACCACTGCAAAGTTTGATTGTAGTACTTCGAGTCTGAAGTATCACTTAAATGCAATAACCAAATGTTATTGCACTTTTGTTCATATAGCAGTACTTTTAAAATATAAGTGCGCAATACACTACTTTTGCAATTCATAATTGAATTTTGCGCATAACAATGAGATACCATTTTTTTTTTTTATCGTTGCCCAGCACTATGAAATATAAATACTAATAGATTTTTGCATTGTATTACCAAATCAACAGTTTTGAATTGGTTGTGGTAGATGTGTAATATCCCTGTGTGTGTTCCACAGCTCTGGACGCAGCCTTAGAGTTCCTCCATCAGTTTGTCGTGCCCAGCTCCTGGAAAACAGAGGTGAAGGAGGAAAGTTCCAGCAGCGAGGATGAGGATGAAGAGGAAGAGGAAGGACAGGAGGGGGATGCAAGCGGCGAAGATGAGGAGGTAGAGGCAGAACCCTGCACATCCCCCACAGCCTCCAAAGTAAACAAATAAATAAAAAGACCCTCAAACTGTGTTGTTTATGTCTGCAGGAGGAAGTGGAGCCGTACCCAGAGGAGCGGGAGAACTTTCTGCAGCAGCTCTACAAGTTCATGGAAGACAGAGGTGAGGCCAGAGCGCACAGACCATACGTGCCTACAGGGTTTCTTCAAAACAAACTTTTTTGTTAAGATTCAAGGTGCATCTTTAGAATGAAGTACCGAATTTCTGACTTCTAACTTCATACTTCTACTGCACAATTACTCATCTATTGTTTGAGAGCTTTAATTAATTATCAAATTGAGCTTTTACACAAAAACACATCTAATCAATATGATGGACTGTTATTTAAAGGACACCTATCATGCTATATTTAAATTATATATTGTAGGGCCATACCTATATAAGGTATATTTATACGTTTCTGTTTTCAAAATACCAAACAGATCATGCATTTTAGCCATGCCTCATCGCTCTATGTGCTGTTCTCCAGCCCTGTTTTTGCAGGGGGCTGATTCTGTGAGCTGCAGCTGACCACGCCCCCCTGCAGGAGAGGGGAGCGTGCTCTGATCAGCTGCTGGGCTGTCAGAAGAGGGGGAGAAAAATAGATCTCCGTCCTCCGTGTTTTATTATATTATTATATAGAGTCGTTATTCATTTGTTTTAAAGCTCAATAAATAACAAAGAAGACCTTTGACCGGCACTTTTCTAATTTTGTCCGGAAGATTTAAACTTTAACGGACATCTTGAACTGAAACTCTGCCGCACGGTCCCCTCGTTCCTTGGAAGAGGCGGAGAGGTGGGTGTTTGTCATCTGCTGGTGGAATAACCGGAGAGAATTACGGTGCTTGCCTCGACGGGGAGGGATTGCATTGAATTAAAGCAGCGGGAGCAAACACTTGCCTCGGGGAGGGAGAAAAAGAGCCACAGCGGAGAATAAACAGAAGGGTAACCATGGTAACTATGGGCAGGAAGTCTTCTTCGCTGCTTTTGTGGCAGACTACAGCGCCACTTACACGCCTGGCATATGTACTACAGTGCTTTCGAGCGGCAATGGCCGGCCATGGCCCAACCCCACATTCCCCTGATAGGTGGAGAGTTGGCCCAATAGCCGTAGCGCCACCTTCCTGACGTCAGGACAGTGTTCAAATCTGGATCAGTTTTTATCAGATCCGTTGCAGCCCCGTTTTTAGAGATTTGGGTATGGAGGAAAATAGAGAGGGTTGTGTTTTCTGACACTTGGTGAGTTCCCTGGAACACCGGGGACACATATTCATGTATAAAAGACGTACAAAAGTGCATTTTGCATGATATGTCCCCTTTAAATGAGCCCTATTATCCTCATTGTCAGGTTCATAGTTGTATTCTGTGCCTCTAATGTGACATGTCTCCATGCTTTAATGTTCATCAAGCTCTTTATTTGTCTCATACTGCCTGTGCTGCAGCATCTATTTTCACCCTCTGTCTGAAACCAGAGCCCAGTCTGCTCTGATTGGTTAGCTGGCCTCTTTAAAGTGTTGGTAAAACAACTGAAAAGTAAAGTAACTATCATACTAGCATAACATTCAGAGGGGGGCATTTTTGAATGCGGGACACTTTATCTGTTATAGAAGTATTCTCATTTCGCAATTTTTCGCTACTTTCATTAAAGTAAAGCATCTCAAAACTTCCTTGAACACTACTAAAGGTTTATTCCAGGAAACTTTCAAAAAGCATTTCCAAAAGGTTTACAGTGAGCAGGCAAAGTAATGCAGGCTCAGTTTGATCAGCCTGTCTACCCTCCTCACCGCAGCGTCTCTCCTCCTCAGGAACTCCAATCAACAAGCGGCCTGTTCTGGGCTACAAGAACCTCAACCTGTTCAAGCTCTACAGGCTGGTGCACAAACTGGGAGGCTTCAACAACGTGAGTGCCACTTTGACAGCGGTTCCCCGCGGTGTAGCCTGACTTCGGTCACACTTGTCTCGTTTGATATGCTGACTAACTCCGGCTCTGTCTTCTCTGTTGTCCCTGTTTGAGCAGATTGAAAGCGGCGCTGTTTGGAAGCTGGTCTATCAGGATCTGGGGATCCCTGTGCTCAACTCTGCCGCTGGCTACAATGTCAAATGTGCTTACCGCAAGTATGTACAGCTGCTCTTAGATTTTACTCTGTTGGGCAAATTCACCTTTTTTCTGTTGTTTTACACTAACAAGCAGTTCAAGTATGTTTAACTTTTTAATGTCCATTTAGATGTATTTCTTTAACAGCCTTTTCAAATTCCTCAAGAATAAATTAGTCCAGTTTCCAAAACATAGAAGTTACCATTTTACATAGCTTTGCCATAAGTGATGGAATGTGTATGAGAGGAGCTGTGACATTTCTGCAAATTCTAAACAAATACTGTTTATCACCCAGGTACTTGAATGGATTTGAAGAATACTGCACCTCCACTGCCATCACCTTCAGGATGGACCTCCCTCTTAAGCAGGCTCCCAAGGGGGAAGTGAAGTCTGAGGGGGAAGCGGTAGCAACACATGCCCCCTCCTCCAGCTCAGAGGAGCAGAAACCGCCGGTGGATGGAGAACCGAGTAGCACACAGCTTATCGTCTGCAAGGTGCATTTCCCTAAATATGATTTGATTTAAATAATTATTTCTCTTGTAATCCTATCACTATTACAAGCCTCCCTTGTTTATTATAATAAAATCCTTCTCCTCTCAGGACGAGAAGCCTGATTTGACCCGGAAAAAAACGGAGCCCGAACCAATAAAAACAGATGAAAAGGAGAGCGAGAACGACGATGACGAGGAAGAAGACAGCCCCCTCAATGGGGACGCAGACGAGGGCTCGTCGACGGCTCGCCTCGGGGGGGAGAGCGTGAAGGAGGAGTGCGACGAGGAGCAGGAGAGCAAAGACAACTCTGGGTAGGTGGTCTGAAATGGATGGTTCCCTCCACCAGGGTGGTAAAAAAAAAAAAAAAATCTCCTCATGGCACAAACACAAGCTCCGTGCAGAGCTCCTGCATGGTGAAAGAACTCTGTGAATATTCAATCTGACCATTGACCAACACTTTCCTTGGTGGCAGTAAAAATCTAAAAAGACCTTTAGCAGATGAGGTCTCCTCTGACCTTAATGACACTAATACCCAGCCGTATACCCACAATCCACCTCTACCTGCTAACAGAGAGGGCTGCTCTCCTCTCTCTCTAACTAAGCTCTTACCCACTGCCCTCTGCTATTTTTATTTCTCGTGGCTTAGTCGGCATCAGCTGGCAGAGACATCTTAGAGCACCAAAAGCCCGACTGCTACCTTTTCACCTGGCATGTCATGCTGTGCTCTCTCAGATTCTCCCTCTCTGTCTCTTTCTCTCTCTCTTCCTCCCACTTTCTTTCTCTCTGGCTGGGATTGTCTAGCCGTGGCCAGCCTCTCTCACACAACATGGCTGTGCTTCTTGATTTCTGACCTTTCCCTGATCTCTCATTCTCTCTCTCTCTCTCCTCCTTTCTCTCCCTTTCTGTCTACTCTCTCATTTTTTGGCTTTTTGATGTTCAGCTTTAATAAGTGTTCCATGTGTGTGAGAGTGTTGTCACTGATGCATTAGCACACTAGACGCAAGATAGTGCTTCAGAGGCAGTAGCCTTTTTAGAGGAAGTGTCTTTCGGTGTTGTGGAAAGTCAAAAGTTGTTTGGTTTGCTAAAATGTAGCTGTTGTTTCCTGTCCAGAGAATCAAGACGATTGCTCTCTGACCTGTTTGTTCACGCCCCCCCCCCCAACCCATCTTTGACACTTGTTTTAAGGTTGTTTGGGCTGCTAGAAGAAAAGCACTACAGCAACAGTTTTGCTTCTGTTTTTTTTACTTTAAGATGTTCTTATCACACATTTTTGCTTCTGGCACCCCTCTCTGTGTAGTTGTTTTTTATCACCAGTGGCCATGGGCTCACAGCAGTATGATCATGCCGATTTCCATCACACCTGGACTTTGTGACAATCAGGAGGCTTCCTGCTCCTTTGGCTGTGTCAGGATCTGTGATAGTGTGGCAGTGTGAGGGTTTACAGATTCACACGGCAGATGACAGCCTGCGGGCTGATCTGATTTATCCTGATGGTATCAGACCTGTTCAATGTTTACTTCCTGTAATCCGGACCTGCAGTCTGACCCCATCACTTTCATCCCGGCTGTACAGACTGTGTGAGAGCTTCTTTTCAATGAGCTTAAATAGGAAAATGGTGTTGATTCATTTATATTAATGAGAGCATGGAGAAGTAAACTCCTGTCCGACAGTGATGGTTGAGTAACTGCCTGAGTTCTATTTACCGTCTTTTATTTATCTTGATGAAGCCTAATGAACTGCCTTATTGAAAAGTGTACTTCCCACTTGGACTGACACTGCAGCCTTTCTTTTCTTTTAGATGTTTAAATGCATAATAAGGCACATTGACTGAAGTTGAATTGTGCAGGTCTTTGAGGAAATAACAATTCCTGACACAACTGATGCTTTTAGATCATGCTTAGGGCTGCATCTAATGATTATTGTCCTTAATGATAATCAAAGATTCTGCTGGCAGTTCTTTTTATATTAATTTGAGCTATTAAATATCAGAAAACTTTGGAAATTGTCCGTCACATCGTCAGTTATTGTCTTGTTTCATCCAATCAACAGTCCAGAAATGTGTCTGAATATGTTTGATTTTTTTTAAAAGACTAAAATCTATTTTTGAAATACTTGCAAATGATTTTCTGTGGCTCGACTATCTGATCATACGACACATTTTTGCAGCTCTAAATGTTTGTATATCTCCGTACTTGTTTGTGTTGGGTGACCATATTAATCACTGAGGGGTGGAGAAGGTCTGTGGAAAAACAGCATTGTGTTTTCAAACATAATTAGGCATTTTGAAGTGTCTTTAGGGTGGTTACAGCTTCAGTTGTCACACTGCATCTTGTTGATCGTTTGTGTAGAGAGTCGGCTGCCAGCAGAGTCGGGCACCCGCTCTGAACCGTTAGTATGAGAGGGATTGTGTGGAGTTCTGTGCTGTAGCTGTTTTTTGTGGCAGCAGACCAAATTTGATCTGGTAGCCCGTGCTTCCTCTCAGCGTTGTAGCCTCGCTTTAAGTTGCTGCGCTGCCTGCCAAGTTGTGCTTTGCCGTGCTAACCCACCCCTCTGGCCCCCGCGCCTTCAACCACTTACTGGCATTCCTGCACCGCCCGTACACCCTCCAGCTTCGACATCTCCTGACTGTTTCCCACTAGCTCCTCCTTGTGGCTGCTTTTGTTTCTTACAGCGTGCGTGTGTGTTTGTGAGTAAGAATCCCAAGTATGTTGTTGTTGTGTGTGGATATAGGGTTAGACAGCCTAACAGTAGTGTTATTTCCTCATGCAAGATTATTTTTATTTGCCATGAAAGAATGTTTTATTCTACTCCATGTACTGTTCTTTGACTGGCTTGCTGTAAATGAACAGTTGTTTATTCTGCAGTTTTGCTGTAGGTTACACTGGAGTTAAGGCAGGACATAAATGGGAAGTTTGTTTCTAGGAAGAGGGCGTAGTGTTGTAATGGGACAGGGAAGGCGAGGGTGGAGCAAAGTAAATTAGAAATCAAGCTTCCTAGCAGCAGGTAGTCGAGTCGGGGCGGGCGGATGTGGGTGGTGCTCTGCGGGGCAGCCTAGGGTCAGGAAAGTGCTGAACTGTTTTTCTTGCAGGGATGACAGCAGTCAGGAGGGGGAGGAAGGGGAGGAGTTTGAGTGTTACCCCCCGGGGATGAAGGTGCAGGTGAGGTATGGGCGAGGCCGCAGTCTGAAGACGTACGAGGCCACTGTGAAAGAGGCAGACGTGGAGGGGGGAGAGGTGCTCTACCTGGTGCACTACTGTGGCTGGAACGTCAGGTAAGACAGGACCTGGGGAGAAATCACCTAACGTCTATATTCACCCTAAAAAAATCAAATTAAAAAAACATCACTAAACAGTCAATTCAGCTCAAGGGATTAACCGCTACATGGGTATCCCCTCAGCATTAACAGATACATCCCTTCCTCACAGTTCTGCTTCACCTGATCCATTGTCAGCACTCTGATTATGGAGAACACTTTGCCATCTAGTGGCGGAAACCGAATTGAGTAGTGGGTTGATGGGGTTCATTCCTCAGCTTCCCTCGCTCAGTTTTGATTGAATCCCCCTGTCTGTCTCTCAACTTAATTTGCAGACAGGCGGAATTTGAACCCCCTTTTGGAAATACCCAACAAGGGGGTTTTTATTAAACCATTTAAAACTACAATATCTCAATGTGAGCTTCCCTTTGGATCTCTGAAAAGGCCAACCAAAGTGCTTCTACACTCACCTCTACCTCTCAACCCTCTCCCCCCCTCCCCAGCGGGTCAGGGTTAATGCAGTGTTAAGTAGAGTGTTAGGGTACCATGACACAGAGGTGAACTAGTGCAAATAGCATTTCATTGTCTTCAATGTCGTTGTGTGGTCCTCTAGCACTCTATAAAAGACAGCGGGATGTTCTCTCTGCATTGTGTCTGTCGTGTGCGATGTTGTGAAAGTTTTTTTATTTTTCATTTTCCTCATACGACCCACGTAGCACCCTTGGTACTGTCGGAACTCTGTTGAATATGATTTGTGTGGTGGTCGGTGTAAATATTGTTTCTTTCTTCATCGTTAAAGGTTTTGTCTTTTTCCACATAACACCATGGGATTTCTTCCTTTTTGGCTTATTGTGTCACAGCAACATGTCGGGGTCAGACAGTAGAGGCGTCTGTGTGGTGGGTGGAGGTGGTGGTGGTGGTGGTGTGAGAGGATATTTCTTCTGCTCCTCTCAGAGATCCAAATGATAAAACTGTCTCTTGTCTTTTGTACTTTCTTTTTTTTCTTTTAGATATGATGAATGGATCAAAGCAGAGAAGATTGTGCGCCCGGCAAATAAGAACGTACAAAAAATAAAGCATCGCAAAAAGATAAAGGTATGATCTGGTTACATTTGAACTCAACCTGGTTTATTTTATGGAGTGAATCGCTGACTTTGCTGCATTCCCAACAGAACAAAGCGGAGAGGGAGAGAGACAGGCTGGACAGGCTCAATGAAAGAGACGGCCTCGGCCCTTCGACTAACGCTAACCGCCTCGCGCGCTCCAAATGTGGCCTGAGCCAGGATGTCTTTTCCAAGATGGACGAGGGTGAGGACAAAGGGACTCAGCAGTCTCCAGTCAAGTCTATAGAAATTACTTCTATCCTCAATGGCCTGCAAGGTAGCAACACTCACTAGGCTGTAGTCCTTATGCACACTTACAGCAGCTTAGGATTGTGTCTCTATGAAGTGGTGCATTTTGTATGCCTGTTGATTTCTTGCTAAAACTAACACAAGCTCTCTCTCGTTTCCCTCAGCCTCCGAGATGTCCACGGACGAAAGTGATCACGAGGACGAGGAGGGCGAACGTAATGCGGAGGATCGTCCTGGGTGCAGGGGCAGCCCCAGAAAGGCCCCACCACCAGAGGCCTCGCACACATCAGAGTGCTGGGACGGTCCTGAAGCATCCAAACCTTCCTCTGTCTCAGGGAAGAACCCGGATGTAGTTGGTCCAGAGGGTGCCGAGAAGCGGAGAAGTCAGGCCGAGTTTGAGGGAGAGGTGAGCAACAGGAAAAGGAAATCTGACGGTGCAGTGGAGAGGACCCCAAAAGGCCAATCCAAAGCGAAGACCCGGAATACAAGGAGTGCCGACTGGTTGCCTGGAGGCTCTCCCAGGAAGCAGCTAGCGGAAAGAGCTACGGGCCCCGGGGAGGAGAGGGGGGGCTTGTCCAGCAGCAGCTCAGATGATGAGGGTGCAGCGCGCTCCGAGTCCAAGGCTGAGGAAAGCGAGCGAAGCCGGCCAAAAACCAAAGGTTCGCCTTCCAAGAAATACAACGGGATGAAGGAGAAGACCAAAGCTGGCCGGCAAGCTGGCTTTTGGGAGATTCCTGAGAAGAGGGCCAAAGTGTCTGGGAATGCGGAGGAACGACCAGCTGTCCGCTCCAAAGGCCAAAAGGACGTTTGGTCCAGCATCCAGGCCCAGTGGCCGAAGAAGACTCTCAAAGAGTTGTTCTCCGACTCGGACACGGAGGCGGCCAATTCTCCCCCCCCCACCCGCACCGCCATCCCTGGAGGAGCCGAGCGCCGAGCAGGAGGCCGGTCCCGAGGACGAAGCCTCGGAGGAGCAGATGGAGAACGACAAACTGCAGGAGTTTCCTAGCAGCGGCAGTAACTCCGTGCTCAACACGCCGCCAACAACGCCCGAGTCGCCCTCAGGAGGAGGGGGCAGCGCCGTGGAAGACTCCTGTCCAGCACAACCTTCCTCCCCGCCCCCGTCCATACCCCCCGCCCTGCCTTCAGAGCCGGTTTCTGACCCCCTTCCCCCAGGACCCGTACAGGAGGAAGTGGCAGGCGTGCGCAGTGAGACAGACAGCAGTACGGTGGAAGTGGAGAGTCTGGGTGGGGAGCTACCAGATCTCCCCCAAGATGAGGGGGCGGGTTCCCCCTCCAAGGGGTTTGACGTCAGTCTGTCCTGCAACAGCAGCAGCAGCGGCAGCCTCGAGCTGAGCAGCAGCAGCCATCAGGAGAGTGAACAGAAGTCCAAAGGTACAACAGCCATCTTTCTTTCAATACATAATAATAGTTTTTTCTTTAAGATGGTGTACTTAAGAAATACACGCTGAAACTAATTTCACTGTCCATCCGTTCCCTCACCGTGTTTTTGCATTGTCTTTGTAGCCTCTGTGAGTCAAAAGCGACAGAAAGAACCACAGCCAGTCGTAGTCTCAAAGAAACACAAGCCAAACCGCAAAAGCCTTGGTGTGCCTCCCAAAAAGAATAGGAAGACAGGTAAGCCTTCACATTTGAAACGCCTGCAGTACCTTCTCCCACCTGACATTTTAACAGATTTCAGGTGGATAAAGAGAATGACATTTTGCTTCTTTTTTTTTTTTTATCCCTTCAGCTGTCTTCCCTCCTCCAGCCAACAGCAGTGACAGTGAAGACCAGTCAGTTGTTGAGGGCACTGCCAAACAAACTGCCTCCAAGAACAACATGCCAGACGTGAAGGCTGTCACATCGCCTAAGCTTCGCGGACGATCTCCCCCCTCGAGCCATAAGTACCACAAGCAGGGTGACCCCGACCACAGCCAGCACCGGGACCACCATGGAAGATCGCCACGCGTGTACAAGTGGAGCTTCCAGATGTGTAAGTGTTACAAGATTTTTCGTTGAGTAATTTGTTATGCCTGAGGGTATTGAATCGGTAATTTTAAATGTGTTTTAAAAGTCTTTTTTAATTGATATGTATAAACTGTTTCTTCAATTTCGCAACTGATTTAATTATATTTATTAAAATGAAGTCTCATATACATTTATGTCAATTCCCTATTAAGGCACAACACTGCAGGCAAAAACTGCCTTCTTTCATGCACTGGTCGGATTTGAGAGTTTGGCTATTTTGCATCCATAACATGTTTTCTTAGGGAGTATATTAATAGTGAAAAGTAAACATCCAAAATGTTCATTAAGGTGTTAATTGTACTTCTCTAATTGTTAATTGTGTCACTAAAAGTTAGAATTAGATGAAGACTTATACTTTGACTGAGGGGTTTGTTCATATATCATTTGTAGACTAATTTATAGAACATTTGATATTTCAAATCAGGAAGCATTTGTATTCTATTATGGATATCCAAACATCCTTTTTTTTTTTTAAACGTATGATTAATTATTTTTTTAAACGTTGATATGTCAACAAAATTATGATATATTTTAATAATAAATCATGGAAAAAATGTTATACAAAAAGGGGTTAGCTTCATGTAAAACATCCACAGAAGAAGTTTCAAATTGATATTAACCCTATTCACCTGTAGGGTCTCCTTTTAGCAGCTAAATTGCATTATTTCTGTTCCACTCAGCTGACCTGGAGAAGATGAGCAGTCTGGAGAGGATTTCATTTCTTCAGGAGAAGCTGCAGGACATCAGGAACCACTACCTCTCCCTCAAGTCTGAGGTAGCCTCTATCGACAGACGACGAAAACGCATGAAGAAGAAGGAACGGGAAAGTGAGTCGGCTCTTTGTGATCTCAACAACGCAATTTTTTTGGGTTTAAATACATTTTCCTAAATTAGTATGTAACAATCTGGGTTAATGCCTACCATAACCAAACGCTGTTTCTTGTCCTGCAGGCACGGTGGCAGCTTCCTCTTCGTCCTCCTCCTCCTCCTCCCCGTCCTCCAGCTCTCTGACTGCGGCAGTCATGTTGACACTGGCTGACCCCCCGGTGTCATCTTCATCCTCTTCTTCTCAGAACTCTGGGGTATCAGTGGAGTGCAGGTGACAGGACGAACCAGCGAAAAGCCACCGCACTTAGCACTTAACCAGCACCCTGGGGTCAACGCCCCCATTCCTTTCCAACAGGACGGACAAGTCACCCTGCTAACTCTACCAACTGGGGCACAAAAACCAGACCAGAGACAACAACAACAAAAACAAGAATCAAGCACTATTTTCTATTGACAACTGTTTCCTTGGCAAGCTAATGGCACTTAAGTGCACTTTTATGAAGATTGTTTAGGGGGATAACATTTGTCGAAAAAATAGAATTACAATATTGTCTTTTGCGCTCTTCTTAATTAACCATTTATAAGAATTGTTTTTGCAAGCAATAATTGTTTCCATTTGATAAAGTTGTATTGGTAAGGGTTGATTTCCAGGGACGACCCCTCCGTGCTCTGTCCTCAAAGCTCAACACGGTACAGCCTGTGCTCGCCATTCTATAGTGAGGAATTCAGAGAAACACTGCCACATTGGCAGAGCGTACATAATGTATCTTCGCCATGTTTCTCTGTCCACACTCATTACAAAAAAGGCCTTTGTGTGGTTAAACCTCAAGTGGTTGACGATGCTCCTCTCACGTACAGGCACGTGGTCCTGTATTTGTTTGGAATGGGTCGAGTCGGGATTGAAGAATAGGGTTTCAGACCATCATAAGTCCACTGACAGCCTCTGTGGATGAATATTGTAGTGCCTTTTTGTTCTTTTCCATGGGGCACTTTGAGAAAGGACAGCACTTGTTCTTCTCCTGATCCTCTTCTCAAATCAGAGCGTCAGCCGGAATAATGTGTTCCTGACAAAAAGACTGTTGAACGCTGTGTGAGAGAACAGGCATCGAAGGGCTGACAGTTAATGATGGTTTTTATCAGCGTTATAATAATATTTAAAGAGTATAATTGTAAAAGCAGAACTCCTAAACTGGATCACCCGTAATCTACTACTGAATACTCATCCAGCTTGGGTGTAACTGCTAAATTTGGCAGTATAAACTGTGCAATGATGGAGTTGGTCACATTACTCCAGTTCATCAGCCTTTTTAAAAGCCCATCTGCTTTATTTGATGTTTCCATCACCTATTTAATCTCCCCTGGACCCATCAACTTCACTGAAGATTTGCAACTGGATCAAGTTAACGTGAAGGCAGCTCAGTGCTGCAAAACACATGAATGAAGCTTAATCCCATTTTTCAGTGTTTCAAACAAACATGAAGTTACTTAATTAAGTATATATTTTTTGCTTTGTTAAATAAAGCAACGCATACTCTTTTGGCATTTCTTTTATAATTTTACTCATGATCAAAAATGACATGCCAGCTTCCTCTCATACTCATCCCTACCAAAAAAATGTTTGGTTCTGTTTCCTGTACTTTGACCAGATTAAAAGGTAAAGATATTGTAAATGTGCATTTATATCATAAAGTGACATGTGTATACATTTCTGAAGACATCTCCAGTGTTTCCTTTGTATAGAACCCCTACTGTATGATAACCTGAAGTTACATTTTGTTTGGCACTTGTATGTAATTGTATGCTTTTGTTATACATTTGTATATTGAGAAGTGTTTTGAGTCAGGCTATTTAATATCTTGCACTGTTAATAATATGTACCTTTCTGTACAGACAGTTTTACGGTTTTAACTGCAGTTTGAGTGTAAATACTGAGGGTTTAAGCATGTTTTTTCTTCCTTTTATCCTATTTCTTGTTCTGTTGTAGGAAGAGATTTATTTTTGAGTTCATTTATGTTTTGCCTTTTTTCATCAGTTAAACTACCCTTTTCAGTTTTACGTTTTGTTTTAGTTTGTACTGTTCTGTTTTTTTTCTATAGCTTGTACTTGTAAGAGAATAATGGGGGTTTTGGATGAGGATAAACTATTCCCAACCTGTACATGGCCTGAAGCTACAGCTGTATGAACCTGTATATGGAAACTAGTCTGGACCATAGATTAAGAGAGAGTAATGGAGCTTATTGGAAAAATGCTCAATAGTATTTATTAGGCTCATCTGACGATGGTCATTGTGTAATTTATTGTAAAAATGTAAGCAAAGCAGAAGCCTCTGTTTGAAATAAATGCCATAGTTTGTGAAGTATTCATCGTGTCTGGTGCCATCAGTGGTGGAAGTTACCAATTATGTTTTCAATTACAATTTTCATATACTTATATTTACTAGTTTATTGAACGTAATGCTTTATTTAACCCAGTTTCAGTGAGAACATTTAAAATAGGATGCAATGTTAAATATTAACTAGTTATTATCCAAAATGACTTGTAAATAAAAAGTTAGTGAACATGTAAATGCTGCTTTAAGACTTAAAGCTCTCTGTTTTTTAAGGCCTTAAGTGGCTTTTGATGATTAAAACAAATTTTCCTTGTAATATTTAATTTCAAATTAAGTATTCAACTTTTGTTTACAGTTTGGCATTGCCATGTTTAACCGGAAGCAAAATCGAACTATAACTGCGTCATGGTGGACGCACTTCCTCTCAGCTCTTCCTCAGCAGCGTGCCTCGCCTCAATAGTCTCAGATATGGCGAGCGGTCGGACGGCTGCAGTTGTGGCCGGGGTGTGTGGGGGCCTTTTCGTCGCATATTGTATTTATTTTGACAGAAAACGGCGGAGTGACCCTGGCTTCAAAGAAAAACTACGTGAACGTAAGTTTTTGAGCTAGAGGGAGCAGAGAAAGGTAGCTGAGTGCACAGGCAACATGTAGCATAGCACGTTAGCCTTAATGTGGCAAACAAGCCACGAGGAACATATTTTTTAAAAGTCTTAATGGACAAAACGCTACGATGTCTTTTTAAAATATAGTGGTTGTAGTGTAGATACTAATTACGTTTAATGCTAACTTATTTGTCTAAGGTAATAAGTCTTAGGTTAGATAACTCGTGCATAGAAACATGCGGTAGCTAACAGCTTAGCTTAACCACGTGCCTTTGATTTGTAAGCACAGTTAACGTACATCTATCTAAAGCTATCTTTGTCTCGCAGGTAGAAGAAAACAAAATGTGTCTAGTGACAAGTCTGGACTGGCAAGGGTAGGACAACTTGTTTTTTAGATTTGTGTGTATTAATTTGCTTAAATGGGCATTTTTTAAAACTTGTGTTTTGTTTTTTTTTACTTTGAAGCTACCTGACCTGAAGGATGCGGAAGCTGTTCAGAAATTCTTTCTGGAAGAAATCCAGCTTGGAGAGGAGCTCCTTTCACAAGGTAAGCCACTTGTCTGTTCAGTTTATAAGCTATGTTTCTGTGCCTGATACACCCGTACATAAAAAAATAACATAAATCTTTCAAGGACACAATTTGTGCAGCACTATATGTCTCCATGTAGTTATAGTACTTCTGCTAAATTGTGTATTGTACTAAATTTCCATCAGGCAAGTGGCTACTTAAGCCATTTAAAACGTAACTGTACCTTTTTTTTTTATTATATATATAAGCCGACCCCAGTTGTATTTCTCATACATTTCTAAACCTTCTTTAACCCTACTTCCAGGTGACTTTGAGAAAGGCGTAGACCACCTGACGAATGCGATTGCAGTTTGTGGTCAACCTCAGCAGCTGCTTCAGGTGCTCCAGCAGACGCTGCCACCTCCAGTCTTCCAAATGCTGCTCACCAAACTGCCCACCATCAGCCAGGTAAGGGTTTCCTGCATCTCCTATCAAAAAGATTACATTTGTATTTCTTGCAACGCATCCTTACTAAACCCCCTGGTTGCATTTGTGGTCTCTGGGACAAGAAAGGGTGCAATATAAACCTTAGATTCCAAAGCTGAGAGCCATGTGTCAGTAGCTCTTAGTTATTTCACCTCTAAGACAAATGCCAGCATTACCAAAAAAATGAGTGCCATAAACTTAATGGCATAACCTCTGAAATGTTTTTTTCTGTTTTTCAGCGTATCATCAACTCTCAGCCTTTATCAGAAGATGACGTTGAATGAAAGTGTTCTCGATGGAAGTCTGCTAGGTATGCGTTTCCGGCTACACTTTAATTAAAAATGTGTTTTATTTGTAGTTGTTGCTAAGACGCATCCTTACTAAACCCCCTGGTTGCATTTGTGGTCTCTGGGACAAGAAAGGGTGCAAGATAAACCTTAGAATCCAAAGCTGAGAGACAAGTGTCAGTAGCTCTTGGTTATTTCACCTCTAAGACAAATGCTAATATGTTTGTTAATTTTCTGTGAGAAAGTTGTACACACATTTAGCTGTTAATAATGAATGAATGCTATACTCAAAGATGTTTCTCTTTTTTTCAGTGATCATCAGCTCTCCGTCTGTAACGAAGATTTAGTCGAATGTATGCGCTTGCGGGTGAGATTGCTCGGATGTTCTGACTACTTCATACTGATGTTTGTGCACTGTTTGGGGCGTGTGACTGCAGTTGTGAGTGATTATGGCTAAGCTTGACCTTTGGACATCAGGTGAATGATCACTCTTTTATCATGGCACTCCGAGGTGAAATAAGCCTGCAGGGTGATGTTTGTAGGAGTGGTGAAACGCATTCCATCTTATCTTGTTCCCACCAGATCTCTTGTTTTCTATCATTCTATTAATTTCCCTCAGAAGTAATGTGCTTTATTCTGCTGGTATGTTATGTGCTTAATAAAGAAAACCACATATGTAAATAAATTGTTACTTATTGCTGTGCACATACTCTACATGTGAAGTGTTTAAGAGTGCCTTCACTAAACTCAACACTTTTTTTGTGCACTATTTAGTTGTCGAATAATTTTATTTTTATATTTCAGTCTTGCATCTCTGGTCATATTTTTGTGTGTAAAATCCTACAATAAAAAAATGAAAACACACTTAAGTTTCTGAGTTTCCATTTACCACTAGATGGCAGTAGCAATGCACAGGAGAATTTACAGCATTTTTCAATGTGGATTATGGTCACTTTCTATCCGTCTGGAAGTCATTTTGCAGTTTAGTGAGTGTTATGTGCAGAAGGAAAGGACAATATTCTTCTGGATTTAAAAATAAATTCTTAGACGGAAACACATTTTACTCGTATGGAGGATGGTGTTGAATGCAATCTCATGGGACTAAATGGTTAGGATCCATAAATCTATGAATGTTAAAAGTACCATAAAACATTGCGTCCTGACCTCATTTGAGTGTTAATGAAATGCAAACACTGCCAGAACGAGGCAGAGTTTTCCTCTTGCGAGTACAGTGTCCGTTTCATGCCAGCATTGTGAAATATGAGTTTTGTGCGAGAACATTTAGCCACGATGGCTTTATTGTGAATGGCTTTATTGTCTGTTCAAGAGAGCGAAAGTGGAGCAGCTTGTAGGGGAAGGGAGTAGGTCTAGTTGAAAGTGTGTCTTTTGGAAGACAAATAGAGCTGTAATTATTTTTATCCCTGTCTGCAGCTATTTTTCTTAGAGGCTCTGGCCACAGAAACCGGGGCCTGGAGGTTGCCAGGAAACAAGAGCAGGGGGAAATAGTTTTTCTACATTAGGAATGAAAATTGAACGGCGGCCCAGAAATGTCGAGTGAAGACTAAATGGTAGACGGTGTTCTGTTTCCATGAACTCATGTGCTCACTGCAAGTCTTTCTCTTCGGCGCTCCTGCTATTTTGCCATTCGGTGAAAAAGGAGAAGGCCTGTCTAGAGTAGTCTGGCATTGGAGTGAGTGTGCAGAAGAAGTGACTCGTTGTTCATCTGTCCTTTGGGGAGTGCAGAGGAGAAAAATAACAGACTGTAGTTTGAGCTGGGGGTGGGGAGTTCAGATTTCAGACCCCTGCACACCCCCCTCCCTCCTGCAAATAAACACTCATGGGGTGTTTCTCAATGCCGAGGAAGGCTGCTCCAGAGCCACTATTTCAAGCATACTACGTCATCGAGTGCCGCCGAAGGCCTGTTCCAATGTCCAGCATACTTGGAATTCTACCGAGGCCGGTGTACTTCGTAGTGAGAAATTTCTAGGCTGCACATGTGTAGACTCCGCGGTCTTAAAATCCCCACAATGCTTTGCGCACGGACCAATTTCCAAATCTTTGGCGGAAATGGGGCTCCATTTAAGGCGGGGCCTCGCATATGACGCACACCTGCACACCTGTTAGCCTGTTCCACAATTCTTCGTTTTCCGAGGCTAGGAAGGATTCTTGCCTCGCTTCTGAAGCAAGTGACTCGGAAGACATGTGCTACCAAGCAAGCGTCCTCGACATTGAGAGACACCCAGCGACTGCATGAATACACACTCTGCCGCTGAGCTGAGAAGCACTGTATGATATGCTCTGATTGCATGCCAATATGAAGGGGCCTTGACATACACCCATGACACTGTTTGAATTCAGGATGACACAGCATATATTTAAAAAAACAAACCCTGCTCTGTGTCCTTAATCCTGAGTAGGAAATGAATGCAATCAACAAGGTGTTGGTTGTAATTCTGTTAGTTTAATTGTTTTTAATTGCATCTCTGCTCTATTTGAGTCTGAATGAATTGGTTATGAGTCAGCTCTTCATATCGGATGAAGCAGGGGCAGGGAGATGAAGAAACTCCCTCTTGTTGTGCAGTAGGGGGAAGTGTTGCTCCAGGCAGGGTGAGCAGACTGTAGTGAAGGACAACTGAATGGAGAGAGCACAACAGCTCCAGTTGACAGCAATAACAATGGCTGTGCCTGAAGCATAGAGACCATGTGCTCGGGAGGGGTGATTTTTGGCTGTTTGTAATCCTTTTATTTTTCTAATGTGCTCACAATCACAGACTGTTTCTTCATTACAGGCGGATGAAATGATTGAAGTCAACATTAAAATCCCAGGATAAGGTCGAGCAAAACAGTCAGACTGCAGAGTGTAATTTGTTTGCATGGATGCCGAACGTATGTCAAACGTTGTATTGGGAATATTGTAATCACTTGAGCTCCACAACTCATTACTGGAAATCCTGTCAACAAATTACCCACAGCAGTAATCACCTTCACTCTGTTATTCCAGTTTGTGAGTTTGAATGTCAAAGCTTGATTACTGCTCTGAATGCCATACATGCACAGATTGGCTGGGTGGAGATGTCTGGTTATGTAGGAGCAGCTGTGTTTGGGAGTTTTAAAGCAGCCAGAAATAACTCTGTTGTATGCGGTTGCTATGGCAGCTTCACGTAGCTCTGCAAAGCTACACAATGCTGCACCATTGGAGAGTGTACGAGCAGTAACCTCACAGGGAGGTATTTGCTGCTGTTCGGTGGAGGCGTGCAAAGAGGCCTGGAGGTGCTCCTGCGTCTTTGTTTAGGAACATGTTTTTCCCAGCAGCCCGATGCCCTGTTGCTGATGTCACTGCTGGTGTGGCAGAGTCTGCAGCCTACTGTACGTTGTCATGGAGGGGGCAGAAATACGAGACATGTCCATGCTGTGCCAGGCTGCTATAATAAAGATGGCTCTCCTCTGCACTGCCACTTGTGTGCATGGCAGCAACACGGTATATTAATTACCAACTGCCTTCTCCTCTGTGTCATTCACCAGTGAGGGAATGAAGGAGAGAGAAAATTCCAAGGCACGTCCTTAAAATAAAGCAGCACTGTACGTGCTCGGAGTGTTAACTTCCACACAGATGACCCATTTTTCCATCTCAAAGGGTCTGCGGATGGGTGGAAAAAAAGAGTGGGGGTGGGAGCCAATCATGTGAATCTAAAGCAGGCTACAAATCCTGGCGGATTTCTCTTCCTCTGTGGGGCCGTGTCTTTACTGTCAACTGTTTTTCCATCCCTCTGGTTCTCCTGCTGCCCTTCCTCCATGCAGGCTTCTTCCCTCCTCCATGTGTAAATCCAGCCTGTCTATTCATCTCTGTTGTTTACATTCCCAGTGAGTGTGAGCTGCAGGGTGTGGACAGCCAACCCCCCCTTCCACCCAACACTCTCTAATGCCATCCTGCCCCCCCACCCTGCCTCCACCTATCTCCTCATCACTAGATCCCTGATAAGGCGGAAATTCAATAGCACTGCATGAGAGTGCATCACATGACCCGTCTGTGAATTCCTGTTTACGTTGCGTGTTTGTTTTTTTAAATTTCGGTCTGGTTACAAGCCTTGTTTTGGAGCTGGATTTGTCATGAAGGGGAGACAAAGAGGATAACAGCAGCAGTGCCGCATGGGAGAAGAAGACAAAAATATATCTCTCAGCATCAGTTCTCATCCTGTCATCTGTCATCAGCATTATCTGTGCAATCTAGGCTAGGAGTGAAACTAGAAGAGGGAAGTGACACGTACGCTGAGCAGCAGGGTGAGGAAAGGGTTAACTGAGCAGACTGTGTGCACAGTTATTTTGTTTTCCCCCTCTCTCTCTCTCTCTGATCTGCCTTCCTGTCTCACAGTGCAGTGCAGTGGCTTTGAAAATCATGAGAGAGGCAGACAGGCTTGTTTTGCATACTGTAGGTCTCCTGCATTGACTTGTAGCAAATCCCTGCCCTCGGGAGGCATGTCAGGGGGGATTAATGGGAGGGCGCGGGCCTCACAGAGTTTCCCATTGTCGCAGTCCAGTCCTGCACTGTGTTTTCATCCCGCAGAGTGAGAAAAGATAGAGCAGGTGGGGCAGTGCTGGTGGAGGGAGGGTCCAGCCTGTGTGTGTGTGTCAGTGCTCGGGGGAGAGGAGAGTGGTGGTGGGAGGGGGGGGGGATTTGTATACAGTGGTGTTATTTCCCTCTGCCCTGATTCTTTTGAGCTGAGCTGAAAGAAGGGGGGGAGTGTAAATAATGTATTTGGAGCGGCGGGGTACAAGGAGCTGGAGCCTGACCGAGCTCGGTGCAGGGAAGGGAAAGGGTTGAGCGGCCATGCTGCTGCACAGGAAGCTGGATGTTAGAGGGGGTTGAGGAGGGGGTGGCAGAGGGGGAGGGGGGTGGCAGAGGGGGAACTGTACGAGCTACAACAACCCCACTGCGGGGCTCTGGGGAATGTGGGGCCTCCGCAAGAATGTAGCAATCCTCGACTTCCGCTAAGTGCTCTCAGTGTTACCAAGACAAATAGTTTGCTGCTGCTGACTGCCATTAACAATGCAACATAATAATGTGGTAATGGGAAATGCTATTTCACAACAGGCCTGGGGCTGCTACGGATTCAAATGGTTTCTCATGAGGAGCAACAATTCCAAACTGGAAACCTCCCATTGCAGGATAGGACAATAGTCAGATAAAAATCTACAATTTTTGTATTAATAGTTTGACATTTTGGGAAATTCTTGCCAAGAATTAGGATACAAGATTGCTACCAATTTGTTAGAAGCAGCAGCAGCAGCACAGCAGCACAGCAGCAGGAAGTTAGCTTAGAATTAAGACTGGAAACAGCTGGAAAAAAGCTAATAAATAGCATCTGCAGTGGCTCTAAAGGTGTGTTCGGACAGAAAGCTAAGCACATATTTTCTTGAAAAATTCGCACAGAATTGGGATCTAACATGTTCTATCCTATTAACCGAAGTTTAAAAATAGTTTTGATGATGTGCTAGACCAGGGGTGTTTTTTTTTACCGAGGGCCACATAAAGAGAAATATACGAAGGGCTGGGCCACTCACTAGAGGTGAGAGACTATCTAAATCAATCAAATGTAGTTAAATTATGCTTGTGAGTGTTGGCAGCTCATCCCTTAAAACAGAAGCCTCAGATTGATTATAATGAGGAGAAATAGGTCTTATTAACACATGAATACTACTGGGTAATATATTTTTACATTTATATTTAAGAAGTACAATAAAAGACAAGCACAAGTTTCATTTGTGGGCCATATTCCATTATACTTTTTTAATTTGATGAGGGCCGATTCAAAATGCTCCGCGGGCTGCATTTGGCCCCCAGGACGTAGTTTGGACACCCAGACCAT